TACACAAATCATTAATCAACCCAAAGCCTAACTCTCAACAGTCTCCAATCTTCTGAAACATAACGAACGAGTTCTTACATGGTGAACAAGTTCTTACATGGTGAACAGTGCAAGGGCAGTCATATCACAGGAACTTTCGGTTTTGATCATGCATCATGACCTATAAACAATCCAGTCAGATAAGATTATTCATTTGATTTTTATACTTGATTTATATGTGAATCCCACAGTAACAAAATGTGTTAGTTCTAATTTACTTTTGTACATGTTCTATAGCTGTGCTTTCTGTGGTTACCAGGGGAATTACATTTTACATCCTAAAGTTTTTTACATGAATCTGGATTTATACCAGCCTATGTTCAACAGCATGCAAAAACACCTACCCCAACCCTAACAGTTGTTAATGTCACAAAGTTATACCATTATACATTGTGTGCCCCAAAACATGATCTAATGATTACCTTAAATGTGTTGATTTCTCTTCTCCTGTTTTATTGAGATATAGTTGACAAACAATATTGTATTAGTTTAGGTGCCACTAGTCATTTCAATTATGTAAAAAACATGTGAAGTTACAAACCATTGTTGTGATAATCTTAACTTTATGATTACCCATGTATTTACCTTTGTTAAGGTTTTTATTTCTTCATACTGCTTTGAGTTACTCTTGGTGCCCGATCATGCCACCTTGCAGATGTCCTTTGAGCATATTTCTTGCAGGGCAAGTCTAGTGGCAATGAACTCCCTGTTTTTGTTTATCTAACAATGCCTTAATTTTTCCCTCAGTCTTGAAGGGCAGTTTTGTAAGATATCGAATTCTTGATTGACCATTTGTTCTTTGAGCACTTTGAATATATTGGCTGACTGCTTTCCAAAGTTTTTGATGAGAAATATTCTTATGATCTTATGATAAACCCTTGTATGTGATGAGTTATTTGTCTCTTGCTTCTCTCAGTTGTCTCTGCTTATATTTGGCTTTTGAAATTTGATTATAATGTGTTTCAGTCTGTTTGACTTCATCTTACCTGGAGTTCACTTAGCTTCTTGGATGTTTATATTCATATCTTTCATTAAATTTCAGAAGTTTTCAGCCCTTATTTCTTCAAATATTCTGCCTGCCCCTCTTTTTTTTCTTCTGGGATTCCCACAATGCATATATTGATCTGCTTGATGGTGTCCCACAGATCACTCAGGCTCTATTCACTTTTCTTCAGTCTTTTTTCTTTCTGTTTCTTAGAGCTGACAAATTCCACTATCCTCTGTTTCAGTGATTATTCTCAAAGAGTCATCACTCAAATCTGCTTTGAACATTTCTGGTGAATTTTTCATTGAAGTCATTGTACTTTTTAGCTCCAAATTTTCTTTATAGTTTCTTTTTAAGTTTTCTATCTCTTTTTGACATTACGATTTTTTTGTTTGTTTGTTTTTCTGAGAGGGCACCTCTCATATTTATTGATCAAATGGTTGTTAACAACAATAAAATTCTGTATAGGAGAGTCAATGCTCAATGCACAATCATTAATCCACCCCA